GTGGTTAGTGGTGTTTCCCAGCCTCCTTTTAAAGAGCAAAGGAAAAAAAAACCACACCACTCCATTTTTCCATCGTCAAGATGAGAAATCTTTTGTGCTGCCTCTTAAAGGGACCTTGAGTAACTGCTGAGAAATCGTCATCAGTTACATCACCTCCAAAACGGCTGCTGCAGGCACCTGACAGCTTTGTCCCGCTGCTACTCTGGGGAATCATTATGCTCCAAATTCCTCGCCCTTGGAGAAAGCCTGCATGGCTCGCCGGGAGGGAGGAGCCGCTGCGCAGTTTGTGATGCTGTGAGTGGCAGAACGGGATCGGGGAGAAGGGCTGAGGTTCCCAGCAGATGGGGTGGAGCAGGGGACACATCCTGGAGTTTCCTAACCCCATGCCATTGGCGAGGCTGGGTTCATCAGCCCGTGCAGGGCCCGAGCATCTTTCTGGGAATGAGCTGAGGGCGCTGCAGTGGCATCGCCTCGGGCCGGAGCTGCCGTTGCCTGGCAGCTGCGGGTTTCCAGGGAAACCAGAGGTGCTAACTTGTTAATGAGCCCCGCGTCCCTGATTGCTGCTGCAAAATAATAATAATAATTAGTAATGGTCCTGTGATTTAGGAATCCCTCAAACAGCGTGAGCCAGCCGAGGGGAGCTTGCTAAATGCTGAAGCACTTGAAAGAAATGAAGGGATGAGGATGGAAAAAAGGGTGTGGGGCTTGGAAAAACCGCTATGGTTTGCATCTTAGGAAGTGTCTGGAGAGCTGGGATCTGGTGGGGTCCTGCCAGCATCCCAGCAGTGAGCCTGAGGCTGGTGCAGGGCTGACCTGGATGGATGGAGGAGCCCTGGGCAGGCTCACAAGGCACAGATATTTCCCCCAACCCCCAGGGCTGCAAGGGGAAAAGCCAAATCACATAGGTCAGTGCCACTGAGTCCCTGGTGGAGGTGGCAGTTCTTCAGGAGTGGCTGCTCGCAGATTACTGGGGACAAATAAACAAATGTTTGCCTGTGGTGCTCTTGTCCATTGGTAAACTCAAGGTGGAGACACCACCAGAAGAGTGTGCCCCTGGGATGAGCATCACATGGAGCTTGCTGTGGCTCCAGTCCCACAGGCACGATGGGAATGTGTTCCTGCAGCAAGGCTGGCTTCCTGTGGCAGTGCGGGGAGCATCTCCTCGGTGAGGGTGCCTGTGGAGGGTGGAGCTCTCCAGGACACAGCACTAGCTTGGTGCGAGGAGTGGACATGCTGGTTAGAGAGGTTCGGGGTTGCTGTAGAGACCTGCTGCCTGCCCTTCCAGCTGATGTCTCCAGTAAAAGAGGAACCAGATCTGTGCCCTTCCCATACCACAACTCTCAGGTGGGGCCTTGTGCAAGATGAGCAGTTAGGGAAGTGGCCTCCATCTGCGTTGGGCCAGCACAGGGACGAGTTCTGCGGTCTCTCATGCCACATGGACAGACTCAGGCTGAGGTGTATCCTGGATTTTCTTGCTCTCTTGCCTGGCCTGCCCAGAAGAAGGTGACAGTCAGGCTGAACACTGGCATGCTGTTTGCACCTCGTGTGGCCAGCTCCCCTCCCCTACACACTCATTTGTGGAGGTGACACCAGGGACAGAGTCCCCTTGAGTTGGCCCAGCCCTCTGCTAATCTCTGCCCGTCTTTCTGCCCTCAGCTGAAGTGTGGCCTCTCCTGCTGGCTGTCCCCATTCAGCTAAGCCATGTGCCCATCTCCTCATTACAGGCGCTCCAGGGAGAGGTGGGATTAAAGGATTATGATAATGTTCTTCAGGAACACTCAAGAAGATTAAGATGGCTTTAATAAACTGATAAGAGAGGAACACAGCTATGTTTCTGAAACCCTAATTTAGGTTCCAGGTTAACCTTTTCCCCTGGTCTCCTCTCACTGGGGTGAGAAGATCTCTTACTTTAGCAGTGCTCCACGGCTAAGCCTCTTCCCTCAGTTTTCCTTCTGACCCATCTGAGCAAAGCAGAAAGACATCCTCCCTCCTTCTCTGGTCTTCCCAGGTATGAGGACATTACAGCTGGTTCTTCTCAGAGACCATCACATACACAGCCTGCAAGGTGCTGTCAGGGAAGTTGCTTCTCTGCCTTTGACCTGGCTGAACCTACACAGAGAAGTCCTCATGTCTTGGTTCTGATGCCAAGGTTACAGCTCCCCATGATCACACTGAGCTGGCCAACTCCATCCCCTGTAAAGGGAAGAGGGGCAGAACGGACCAACCTTGCCCTGCCTTCCCCCACATCTTTTGGGTGGAGCTGGGAGTGGGACCTGTTTGATGTGTCACATGTGCCTGCAGAGGTTTATCTGGTTGTTCTGCGCGAGGGGGGTTATTAGCTGACTTGGGAAACCTCCTTTGTCTTCTCCAATCTCTTCCACCCAAGCTTCCGGTCATCTGCCAGACTTTGTGAAGGCCTCTTGTGTCTTGGTTTCTCTTAAGAGTCAAAAGTTCATCACCTGTCAAACCCTCTGTGTTTGACACCCCAAAAGTTTACCCCTTGCTCACTATCTGGAGGTTGGATACCATGTTATATCCGGAGGGGCTCTGCAGTGTTGGATCACTCCTTCCTCCCGCTTCTCTCATCCCTCTGCCACTGTATTATTCCAGGGTTTTTTTGTCTGTCAGCTCTTTCTACTCCCTTTTTCTTTCTTCAATGTAATTGGAAGAGCCAAAAAACATTCACAGCCCGGTGTCCTGATGGGTAAGGGAGGCAGAAAGTGATTTGGGGAGTGGGGTGTGAAAGGAAGACTAAGGGGAAAAGCTGGCTAATTTGCATCCTTTCTGAGTGCCCTGGCTCTATAGCCAAGGGACAGCAGGGGGGCTTCTGGCAAGGCGGTAGCGACGTAATGAGGTGTGTCATATCGCAGCAGGAGCCGGCCTCGCTCCCCCTCAGACCCCCTAATTAGAACTGTTTCAATTTTTAAGCCCCCTGAGGAGAGCAGGGGGGAGCGGGGTTCCTGCGGCGGGGGGACCGCCCGGTGCCCGCCGAGGGGGCTGCGCTAATTGGAATTGTGGCCAGGAGCGGCGGGACGCTCCGTGGGGCCAGGCACAGTGTGCCAGAGTGCCACGGGGCTGCCAAAACGCTTTGTGCCAGGAGGGGCTGTCACTAGCTCAGCTTCTAGGGGATTTTTTTCCCTCCCGTAATTTGTATTAACACGTTGGCAGAGGCAGCAGGGGTGTGATACAAGGGCAGAAAAGTACTGCACATCCTAATGTGGCCTCCTGTTGGGAGCTTGGATTCTGGGACTGAAGCCTGGGACATCTACCCCTGCTTTGGGAGGCAGGTCTGGTAGCCCAGGGAAGTTTGGGCTGTTAGTGCTGGAGTCACGAGCCAGAGCAATGCTGGAACCCCCATCCTCCCTTTCTGTGGCTTTCCATTCTCTTCCTACAAGCTGGCAGTGTCCTCCAGGTTTGGTGGCTGGTGATGAGGTCCCTGTCATGTCACCCAGTAGCTGTCTGACTCATGCATCTTTTCTGCATCCTGAGCTGCCATTGCAGTAGGTGCCTGCAGGTGTAAGAGCTCATGGGACCTGCTGGCTTGCTCGGGTCAGAGTGCCTCGTAAGCCTCCTCTGGTCCGTGGACCAAATCCTGATCGTGCAGAGGTCAATGAAAATCTTTACGCTGGCCTTTCCAGGCATGTTATTCATAGGCCTCCTAAGTCAGATGCATTAAAGCTTCCATGAAGCAGCTTGTGGGTTCTCTCTAAAGCACCGTCTGGCAAGAACAGGAGGAACCGGGTAGTAGCCCAGGCTTATTTTCTGAATGACTGCAGTGGCTTTAAAACCTAATGCCATTAAAACATCCTAGCAGTGACGTGTTCCATTAAAACTTAAGAGGACACCCTGAGCTGAATGCTCCCCAGCCTGCCTGCTGTCCTTGCAGACCTCGTGGGCTGGACATGGAGGAATCTTGTTCTTCACCACAGAGAGCACCAGGCTCAACCCCACTCAGCTCCTGAGGTGGAAACACAGGGTACTTGTATACTGGGTACTCCTGTATGTGTACTCCTTTCTAGTTCTGTGCAAGTCAGGTGCTGAAAAGCAGAGAGCTCTCTGGGGCCATCTCAGTCCAAGTACAGCTTCCCAGCACCTCTGCCTTGATGCCTGGACTGTTTCTTGAAGACAGGAGTAAAGGCCAACTTGATTTCTTGTCTTCTCTTGACTTGCCAGGAGGCAAGCTGGCAAAAATACCTGTGAGCAAGCTCTGATAAACAGGCAGGTGAAATCCAGTGTGAAGTGATGAGCATGAGTGAGCAAACCTGATTTGGTGGTATGTGTGATGGGCCCCGAAGTAGCTTTTACCATGCAGCAGCAGAACCTTAGAGCTGAGCTAAGCTGCTTCTGTGAAACCATTAGCTCTGGGCTTGGCAGAGGTCAGAAAAAGCAAATTGAGTGTGAGGAGCTGTTGGACTGGAAACAGGGAAAGGAGGTGACATCTTGCCCTGTGCAGGTCCCTGATGTGCCTGGCTCTCAAACATGGCACATCAGGGCTGGCCAGCGTGGCCAAAGGTGTCTGTCTGTGTAACTGGTGGCTCTGTAGATGCTTTGACCTGAAAAGCTCCTTAAATTAGGTCTAAATGTGGTAAGAGCTGTGGAGAAGATTAGGTTACAGGCACATGTGGTGTTTTCTGGTGAAGCAGTAAGGCTCACCCAGAGGAGCCATCATTTACCAGATTTGGAGCAAACCAGGGGAAGGACTTCTTCGGTGTAACTGGCAAGCCATTCTACTCCCCGCCACTGGCCACTGTGCTGTTAAATTAAAAGCTGACATGGCTTCAAAAAGCAGTTAGACAAAGTTATGGAAGAAAGTTCTGCTGAGGGCTATTAAATACAAAGAGAAAACCTCTGGTTTGGGCTGCTCTAGAGCCGCACATGCCAGCAGGCTGGGAGAACACACCTCGAAAGTGTGGCTTGTTGCTCCCCTAGGTTCTTCTGAAGACACCCAGATATCATCCTGCCTAGCTGATGGGTTGTTGTCTCCTTTCTTCTCTCTCCAGGTTCAGCACAATGAGTTGGCACTCTGGGCATTAGCAGCGTGAGGAGAATAGGACGGGTGCTGCCCTGCCCACCCCTCAGCCCTCACTCATTCCCCTTGGGGACACGGGTGCCCTGCCCTTCCAGCCCTTGCTCCCCACTTGCCATAGAGGGGACTGGCCCGTTATGGCTGGGGACAGGCTCCCACGCAAGGTGATGGACCCCAAGAAGCTGGCCAGCCTCCTGAGGAACGGAGCCGAGGGCACCCTGGTCATCGACAGCCGCTCCTTCGTGGAGTACAACTCCTGGCACGTCCTCAGCTCCGTCAACATCTGCTGCTCCAAGCTTGTCAAGAGAAGGCTGCAGCAGGACAAGGTCTCCATCACGGAGCTCATTCAGCCTGCCTCCAAGATGAAGGTAAGGGATCTGACCCTCATCTTTCCTGGTGGATGTTCACACCCTCTTCTCATGTGGGATGCAGATCGGCCTAAGGGATCCTTCCCCTCCATCCCTTGACCTCGGTATCTGCCAGCATCTCTTTGACACCCTTTGGAGAGCTGAAGTGTGAGCTCATTTGGCCTCAGGGCTGTCCTCGGGGACCTGTTCATTGCCCCCACCCCACTGACGTGGCTCCCCGCTTCAGGAGCCCTCCCCGAGCAAGTCTAACAGGTATATCAGCTTTAGGACTTGTCTTATGACAGCAAACAACCCCCCAAAGCCTTCCTGGAGCTGTAAACTTAATCTCCTGCTAAAAACTCTTCCCCTCCCCTCTGTCATCTCTAACTCCATTCAGGGACATGTAATCCTCCTCCCCTGTGACGCCAGAAGCTCTTATCCGGTGTCATGGCATATTATCTCTCCCAGGCTTCTCTCTATCGCTCCTGGTTAAATAATAGAGGTGGCTCTGAGCCACGGAGCTGGGCTGGAGCGCCGGCCGGAGCAGTGCCGGGTGTCCCTGCAGGGCCGGGGGCTGGGTCGTGCCCTCCTGAGCTGCTGCCAGGGGCTGTGCCCGTGGGTGCCGAGATGCTGCCCCAGGGCTGCACCAGTGGGTGCCGAGATGCTGCCCCAGGGCAGTGCCCGTGGGCGCCAAGATGCTGCCTGGGGGGTGCGCCCGTGGGTGCCGAGATGGTGCCCGGGGGCAGTGCCCGTGGGTGCCGAGATGCTGCCCCAGGGCAGTGCCCGTGGGTCCTGCAGAGGCCACGGGACGAGCCCGAGGATGGCTCACCATCCGAAGGGTGGTTTGCCATCACAGCCCTGCCAGTTCGCTCCCACCGTTCCCCCACTGCCGCCTTGTAATTTTATGGCAAAGCGAGGGTAATTCAGGCGATTAATCAAATGCTGGGCCCAGCTGGAGCCATCTGCGTCGTGTGTCCCCCCCCGGCCCGCCGCCCCGAGGAGGCACCGCTGTCCGCATTGGCTGGCGGTGACATCAGCCCGCGGGATCAAGGGGACCGGCGGCGCGGGGGGGCGGCCTCCCGCCAATCTGCTGCGGGGATGCTCGGGGCTGGGCGATTCGGAGGGGATTGCGGAGACTGATTCCTGAACGGCTTTAGCTGCTCTTAAATCCCCTGGAGAATAAAGCAGAATAATCAGTTTTTCGCAAGCTCCGAGGAGCGCGGGGCGGCCGCCCTCCTCCCGGCGAGGGTCACCTCTGCAGTGGCCGCTGTCACGTGGAGCGGCAGCCGCGGCAGAGCAAGCGATGCGCGAGGGGGAGGAAGAAGAGGAGGATGATAGGGAAGGGGGAAGCGTGGAAGAGTTAACATCAGCTGATGCCATCCGCCTGCAAACCTGCGGCTCGCCAGCTGCAGCGGAGCAGTGGGCTCCCAGAGGAGCCGGCTGGTCCTTCCTGGCATTCCCTACTCTGTCCCCATAGAAAGAGCGTAGAAGGATCGTTTTCTCCCGGCTCCTGGATCATTGCATAATGGTCCACGTACTGGCTGGGGATGTGATTGTAACCAGGGATGCTAGGAGAAGAGGAGAGAGGCGTTGCCGTCGCCTTTAATTCCTTTCTGCTTTTCTTTCGGATGCGGCTGAAATCCCTCCTGGCACATCCATGGGCAGGAGGCTGCATTTCCCCACTGCTGCTGCTGCTCTGCACAGCCCCTGCCGTGCCCACGGCCTGCTGGCTCTCCCAACACATGCAGCTCAGGAATTAATTAAGCTTCAGGACACCCTTGAGAGGTTAAGCCACTTGTCCTGGGAAGCTGGGGTGGGATACTGGGAGGGGATCATTGCCCTATTCTCATCTGGCATAAAGCAGGGTGGGTGGCTGTGCCTTGGGCTGTCCAAGCCTTTCTGTGCATGCACTTGTGTGTTTGCATTTTGGGATGATGAGCTCTCTTCTCGCCCCCTTTCCTTCTCCCCACCTCCCATTTCAGTCAGACTGTATTTTGGGACCCCGAGAAATCAATGTGAGCTGCTATCTCGAGGTGCACAGATCCTCAGAAGGGGGTGCTGAAGCTGATTTACACCTCTGACACCCGGTGTCATTTCCCTGCCTCCTCTGCCTCGGCTGGCCAACATCCCCCAGCCCTGCTCTGCCCCTGGCTGCGCGGTGCTGGGGGCGGGGGGCACGGCTGGCCTGGGGAGCAGATGGCAGGAAGGGTGACATCAGTAGCGCGATTGTCCGGCCCCATTATTCCTCCTGACGGGCCTCCCGCCCTCCTCCTGTTTCCTGCTCCCGGGGCTGCCGAGACAAAGGCGGATGGCAGCGACGCGGGGCTGCCCGGGCAGCCACAGGGCAGCCCCGAGCCCGAGCCTCGTCCCACTCCTCCTCATCCCCAGCAGAGAGAGCTGAACCTGCTCATCCCATCCCAGCGATTGTGTTCGCCTCCCGGGGAAGGACACGGGCTGATGCAGGGCAGAGCATTTGGGCAAACCCCACCTGGCCGCCAACGCCGCTCCTCCTGCCTGCGTGCTGGCAGGGGTGGGTGGGAGAATCTGTCTAATTTGCTTTTCCCAGTGCTTACTCTCTCCTTTTCCATGTTGCAGTTAAGGAAGCATACCATTAGCAATGCTTCTGTGGGCTGCAGTTTGGAGTGATGCTGTGGGATAACAGCAGCTCCTGGCTTTTTTTTGGAGCTCAGAGAGGAAAGGACCATTTGGGAGGAAAAAAGAAGCAGAGACATTTAAAATCCCTTTCTTTTTTTCAATGAATTATGCCTATGACCCCACGATTGTGGCAGTTGCCATAGCCACTGCTCCCCAAGCCCTCATGTGGACCATCTTCCCATGGTGCCCAATCTGGGAAAAGCTGCAGCAGCAATTCCTCTTGCAGTCGTTTCCCTCCACACAGAAATGGTACCAACATAACTGCTTCTGGTTGGTTTTGAACCCTTCTCCCAGTGCTGACAGTAATAAACTCTCACAATAATAAATTCCTATAACAACTGGAATAATTCAGCTCCTCCGTGCAGTTTGGAGAGCAGAGGTTATGAGAAATTCCTGCTTGGGTTTTTCACTAGCATTTCTTTAGGGAAATGTTGAAAATTTTACTTCTTCAAGATTCCCCTGGAAAGTCCACCTCTCAACCACTTCTCACTTCCTGAAATGGAGCAATCTCCAGAGCAGCTACAGCCATGCTTTGAGGCCAGACAAGGGTCTCTTCAGGTGATGGGAATATTTATTTTTTATTTGCATTAGGAGCTTGGCTCTGCAAGCAGCTGTTTTGCTTGAGGGAAAGCTGGGGCTTATTTTTGAGCCTTGTGCCTGGCTGCTCTTTATGTTGATGGAAGCCCTGTTGTTTCAGTGGGGTGATTCACTGTGTTTTGAAACAATACGTGACTGAGATGTCAGTAGTAATTGGGATAATAATAATAGCTCACTCTTATCTTAGCCTGGATCACCTGTAGAGCATCATTATCCCTGCTTGGCAGCTGGGGAGAGACAGAGCTGGGACCCAAGCTGTGTTAACCACGCAGTGCTGGGGACTGGTGTCCATGTGGGAGTTACCTCCAGCCAGAGCGGGGACAGTGATGGGCGGCACAGGGCTTGGCACAGAGGCAGTGAATCGATGCTCTCAGCTGGGGTTTGGTTGGAGCTGTTGGTCCTGGCTCCTGGCTGGTCATATCCCTCCAGCTAGGATTTTGGCAGGGAGGAGGTTTGTTCTTGGGGAGCTGCTCTGGGGCACCTCCAGCACTGGAGTGGGCCAGCAGCTTTTCAAAGGTGTGCGTGGGTTTGCAAGCGCCACTCAATATCTATCTGGAGCCAAAAGACTTGCTTCATCTTGGCCCTCCTGTCCCTTGCTAGATGGATGTGGGGACCCTGTTTGGAAGGTGATGCCTGGTGTTACTTCAGCAGTTTTGGGGTGACAGCAACCCCTGTGAAAGTGTTGCTTCTCAGAAGAATACCTCTGTTTTCAACTATGTCCCTGTCCTGTGCCAGCACCTGGCAGAAGCAGGAATCTAGTATGGCACATCTCTTCAGCTTTACCTTCCTCTGCCCAGTTAGCTTTTAGCCTCCCTATGTTTAAAGCCATAGATGGGGCGTTTCAGGAGGGCATGAGATTAATGGGAGACCCATGTGCTTGATTAAATGTCTGTGTCTTATTTCCCTTTGTGGTGAGGAGCTGGGATGCCAGTGCATCCTTGTATGCTCCATGAGAACTCCTCAGGACTTTCCTGCAGGTATCCTCACTCCAGCAGGCCAGGTATTTATTTTCTGCAGCCAGGCCATGAGAGGCCAGCACTTGTTTGGCATTTGCATTGAGTGAAACCTTATAACTTTAATAAGATGTAAACCGTGTTGCACACCTCTGCTGTCGCGCAGCAACCCTGCAGTAATGGCCCAAACAAAGCCTGCCCGTGTGGAGGAAACACTAAATCCTATTGTGGGATAATGCTGCTCAGCCACAGCTGGTATCTCTCCTGCTGCCTCCTCAGCCTGGACTGTGCAGCTGGGATGAGCCCCTGCCCCACTGCAGAGTGGTTCCTGCCTCACTGTGCTTTTGGGGAAAGATGTTTTTGCTGGCATAGGGCTTCAGGGTTGGACCTGGGTCTTTGGGATGTGCTAGGGAGCCTTGAAGGGCTAGGCAGCTGCTGAAGACTGGTAGGTTCCCCGTTCTGAACCCGCTTGACAGCCAGCATGTTTCCCTCCAGCTGTGCTTGGATGACCTCCCACAAAAGTCCTGCGTCAGGATCGGCTGAGGAAAAGATGCTGGAGTAGATCCTCATCTGGCTTATCTCAGGTGGCTCCAGTCATTTTTCAGTTCTTATTTTAGAATTCCCATGTCCTTTTCCCTCTTTTGCTGCCCTTTCATGCCTCCTGTCATGCTGCTGAGCCGTGGGGCCGGTTTTGCCTTGCAGTGCCTGTGCCGGGCTGGGGACAGGTGTGTCCTGTGAGCCCCTCCTGGAGCACAGCTGTGTGTGGCGCCCCGACGGGGATTCCTGCTGCTGCGGGGCTGTCCTTCCGCTGCGGCGCAGAGATCTGATGAGCTCAGCTAAACCAGTGCTCCCTGCAGCTTCATTTGGATGGTGCTCACGTTGCTGAGCAGGGAAGCACCTGCAGCAGGGTGGGAAAGCAGCATTAATAATAACAGCAACCCCGAGCGAATCTGCTCTGGTGGTGAGATAGGGCTTGGCAGTGAGACAGCAAAATGAGGAGGGTGTCCATGAGTGGTACCTTGTTCAAGTGGTCTCCTGAAGACATTTTGGAGAGGGCTTGGCACAGGGTGGCCAATGGGCAGCTCCAGCACTAGCTGCTGAGAAGAGAGCAGCTTGCACACATTCCCTCCTTCCCGGCTTGCTGCTGCCTCCCCCTCCTCCCATGATGTGATGGATGTGCCTCCCCTGCCGACTGGAAGGGCAGGTGCTCTCAGGGCAGGTGTGTGCCCTACACCCAGCTCTTCAGCAGATGAGCTGAGCTGTGCCTCTGTGAGGATTTTTATCTCCTTTTGGTGCATGGACCTTCAGGTAGGTGTGGGAGTGTCTGTCTGTGCCTTGAGTGCTCTCATTGCAATCCAGTCATCACCAGGCGTGCCTGCAGGTTAGCCCACCATCTCACCTGCCCCAGTTTATCCCTGCAGTGGTGGGCAGCTAGCTGCAGTTTGTGGTATGTAAAATCACATGAGAGCAGCCCAGGAGCTCCTTCTGCTCTTCCCAGTTTATCCCTGCAGTGTGCAGGCCCCAGCACACATTACAAAAGGAAGAAAGCACATCACCTGGAACATCCACTAAGTAATATAAGAGATTTTCCCTTTCCTTCAGCCCTTAGGGGTGATCTGCAGGTTTGGGGTGATGTGCAGTGGCAAGGTGTCCCCAGGCTGAGCCCTGAAGAGCTGTTGATCCAGCCCCCTCTGACTCCAGCCACAGCACTAGGGCTGTGTTGGGAGCACCCCTATCTGCAGAACCACTCCCAAATCCCTGTGTTCTTGTCCCTGTGACACCAAGCTGAGGAGGAGTATCTGAGGGGCAAAAGTTGGCTGGGGAGTAAGTGGTGGAAGAAGTTGTGGTGATTTCTGGGATGCAGTTAAGTGACAGTAAGCTAAGGGTGGGCGATGGGGAGGAGTGACCCTCTTTTGGGTAGGATGCTCAAAAGCACTCGTAGTTGGTGAGTGTGGCAATGGGCACCTCTACTGACACATTCACCTGCAGCCATGGAGCAGAGTCCCAGCCTGGCTGGACACTCCATTTGGTGGTCAAAATCAGCTTGTGGAAATGGTGTGGAGCTGGAATTTCCTGCTCGTGTGACCACTACATTCAGCTTTGCTTCCCACAGTGCTGTGGGATCCTCAGTGCTCAGCCCATTTCTCTGATGCCGCGTTTTTTGCCGCTGCCCTGCAGGTGGAGGCGGAGGACCACCAGGACGTGGTGGTCTATGACCAGAGCACACGGGACGTCACCGGCTTGGCTGCTGACAGCTTCCTCTCCATCCTCCTGGGCAAGCTGGACAGCTGCTTCCACAGCGTCTCCATCCTCACAGGTAGGAGCCCTGGGTACCACTGCATCTCTAGGGGCACTCATGCCCTTAGCCCGGAGTGACGGAGCTGTGTCCATGTGCACAAGGACTCTCACCCTTGCCACCCGTGGCTGTGGTGGGGGAAGGCAGCCCTGCACGCAGGCTGAGGATGTTCAGCCCACACTGGCATCACTGGGTCGTCCCCATGCCCTCGTTCCTTGCACTGTCCATCTCACCACCAGCCAGGGTGAATGAAAGAGGAGGGAACAGAGGAGCTGTGGTGGCATGGATCCAGCCATCCAAAAGCTGCCCTTTGTTCTCCCATCCCTGTGTTGCTTCATCCGTGGTCAGTGTGCCAAGGAACAGACCCGGTTCAGGCACTCTGCTCCCTCTTGCTGCTGTCAAAGGGAGGGCAGGAGACGAAATCCATGGATGTACTGGAGAAGGATGGCAGGGGCAGAGGGTCATCCCTGAGTGAGTCAGAGTCTGCTGGAGATGATGCTCTCTGAGCACAAATGTGCAGGCAGGAGGAGGCACGTGCTACCCTAATTACAGCCCTTCTGCAGTGAGGCAGGTGACTGATGAATGAAAAGCTCCAGCCCAACAGAGAGGAGAAGAGAGAGGCAGGGAACTGCCTCGGGGAGAGCTGAAGATACCTTTGATTCCCCTTAGCTGGGACAGCCAGGCATCTGCCCTGATGGCTGCCTGCCCTTGAGCTTTCTGCCCATGGATGGGTGAGCAGGCACTGCCCTGTGCAGCCCCACAGTCCCACTGAGCTCAGAAGCACAGAGATGGGAATCACCTCTGTCCTTCAAGCCTGTCCTCATGTGTGGGCATTGGATACTGCTTTGGGGCTGAGGCAGAGGGTCCCAACCTCTGCACCCTGGGACACCACAGGGATGGAGGGAACTGCCACTCCCACAGAGTGACAGATGCTGGGGAAGGGTAATTGTGGGGGGAAGGTAACATGGGCAAATGGCATTCAGGGAGCCCTGCCCATGCAAGGCAGGGGTAAGTGCTGTTGAATTAGAGCAGCTGCATTGTGATGGGGGGGAGAACAGAGCAGAGAAACAGCAGGATTAAACCCCCTGGCCTCAGGTTCTACCAACAAACCAGGCAGGAACTACACAAAATCATGTTCAAGCTAATTGTTGTGGCCTGGGTTGCAGGAGCTCTGCTGAGGCCAGTGCTGGAGGATGCCTCCCTGAGCTGGCTGTGGCAGCCCCTGGCCTGCCTCAGTAGCTGTGCCTGCGGTTCCAAGGTCGCTGTGGTATAAACTAGGGCACAGCTTGGCAGGAGAAGGAAGTGGTAGATTCAGTTGCATCTAGGAAGGAACCTGCTTAGTCATGGGGGTGGGTCAGGAAATAGCCTTGGTGGTGTCACCCTGGCACCCCTTTCCCAGGGCTGGGTGAGGAGCAGAGCTGGGTGCTGGCTGCAAACCCCTGCTCCCCACAGCGAGTGCTCCTGGAGCTGGACAGGGCTGTGTGAGGTGTCCCTGAAAACCCCGGAGCCTCTTCCTCCCTTAAGGCCTGGGGGAGCCTCATAGTGCCAGTGCCCCCCAGCTGCATGCACAGCGCGCTCCAGCGGCGTGCCACCCCCACAGCCATCAGCACGCCACCAGCAAACCCCTGCCAGCAAACCTGCTGCCCCCCACTTGGGCACACACCTTCTACAGCCATCTCCATCCTCCTGGGCTGCAGGAGCCCCAAGCAGGAGTGTGGGTGTGCTAGGCACCAAGCAAAGCTCAAGCCTCCCAAATGAAAAGCTCAGCAGGGCCTCAGCCTCACGTGGAACATGGGTCACCAGCAGGGGGAAAAGCTGGAGCTGAAATGTGGAACACTGGGTCATGGCGGCGTGTTTCACATGGAAACCATGACTGGAATGGCTGTGCAGAGCATCCAGGAGAGGCTGGGCACGCTTGCTGGCAGGCACAGCTTCCTCCTGCCTGCGCTGTGGGCAGCAGTGGGCTGGTGTAGAGACAGCTCTGGAGTGCTTGGGGGGCTGGGGCAGGATGTGTGAGTGGGCCTGATTCTGAACCCTTGCCCTTGTGGGGTTTAACCCCCCAGTCTGTCCACTCCAGCCTCAGGCCCCTTGTCCTGCCCCAACCCATTTGGTGTCTCAGAAGAAGTGCCTGAGTTCTCCTTGGAGGTGCTTTGTGATCCCAGTGAGTTGGCAATCCCAAAATTGGGAGCATTTCAGCCTGTCCCTCAGTGGGTGCCATTACCTCAGGGAAGCTGTCCTGAGGGTCCCCAGTTCAGCGTGGCAGCCCTGCAGAGCCTCTCTGTGCTGCCCAGCTCTCCCAGCCCCAGCAGATGCAGGGGTCTGTGCCTCTGTGTCCCCATCTCATGCAAACACCAGGCTTGGCTGTTCCTGCTCACCTCCAGGCCAGCAACCTTCTGACCCTTGAAGCAGCTGATGGAGGCTGATGGGTGAGGACGGGGGAGCTGGGGGTGGCAGGACTGGTGCCAGGGACTCCTCAAGGGTTAACAGCCCAGAAGCAGCGATTCCAGTGGCTGGCAGGGAAGAATCTGAGTCAATTATTCCCAGTCTTGGAAATCATCAGCTTCTCTTCTTTTTTCTTTTTTTTTTTTTTAATTGTGTAAGTATAAATAGTGCTGCTTGCTGCCCTCCATCCGTGGGAGCAGAAAGACTGTTGATTTATATGGTTTTCCTGACATCACATGAAGTGGTGGAAAACTGAATGGAGCCAACATTTTTCCTGCATTACGTAATGCCCCCTCCCTCCCAGCCCAGCTCTGCTATTCCTGCAGGAGCCTGACTGTTCTTTAACCTTTGTTTACTTCAGCACAAACCCTTGCTTTTTTGCTTTTTTTTTTCTGGTTTCTTTTCCCTTTTTTTTTTTCCCTTTTTTTTTAAATTTTGCTATATTTTTCCTCCCTTATTCTTCCCCTTTGTAATTCCTCCCCTTATTCTTCCCATCTTGTAATCACCCACTTGGTTTTTATTAAGAGGCATTATCTGCTTCTGAAGCAGGAGCAGCAGCAGCAGTCTGGCTCCACTGCTCCCTGACAGCTCCCATGTGCCAGCTCTGGAATGGGAGCCTCTCCAGAGCCCTGTGTGGTGCTGAGCTGGTGGGTGCTGAGCTTCACCAGCTCCTCTCCATTTGCCCAACTACAGCAGGCAGTGTGGAGATTTTCTTCTGCTGCTATTCAGTGGCTAAAAGCGACAGCTGAGGGCTCGGGATGCTGGTCCAGGTGATGCTCAGCCACCCATCCTGTCCCTGCCCCTGGTCCTTAGCTGAGCACCGGGCTCCTCTCTCCCGCACTGGAAGCCGTGTGCCCGCTGGAGATAAAACCAGCATGGCAGAGTGGCCTGCAGTGGCGGCCCCACAGCCTGGGCTGCAGGGCTTGGGACCCCCCTTGCCTGACAGAGGCTCTTTTTGCTCAGTTCCGTGTGCTGGGGGAGCTTCTCCTCTGCGATATCACACTCCGACCTGAAACAGGCCCCTCAGCTGCGTTCTGAGCTCCAGTCATGAGCTTTTCATCTGGCTCGGGAGCGCCTGTGAGATCATCTTCAGCGCCCCCCCTCCCCCCGCTTTTGTACCAATTCTTCAAGGAATGTTTAAATTTTCCAGTCCTGTTCTTTCTAAATTTGGAGCGTCTGTTTACTCCCAGGATTCGGAAAGAATGTAACAATATCATCAGCGACAAATCCCTCCCAGCCCTTCACTCGCCATCCTCCTCAGCGAGCAGGCTGGCTGTGACCCAGGGCTCTCCAGCCTGGCCATGCCATGGCCCTCCAGCGCAGCTGCAGAGTTGTAATTGCATGGTGCAGTCATCTGGGTGGGGGCTGAGATTTTGGGGATTTTGGGGAATCTACCAAAGACAGGTGACTCTGCCGCAGGCAAAAAGAAGTGGTGAGAGAGGAAAGGGGATTTCCATTGCAGGAGCTGACTTGGGCTGCCCAGGCATGAGTGGGTTTAGCATTGAAGCACTGGCTGGAATTATTTTAGACAGAGATAGATTCTTTAAATTTAAAAAAAAAAAGGAAAAAAAATGAAAGAAGGAAAGAAAAAACACTTCTCTTTTGTCTTTTTTTTTTTTTTTTTTTTTTTTCTGTATAGGGACAGCACTAAAAAGAGCTTAAACATCAGAGTGACTGAACATGGCTTTGCTCATCCTTGGCTGAAAATTCCGTAATGCTTTCTCGTGTCGTGTTGGTGAGAAGCCACATGCCAGCTACACATTCCCTTGCTGCCTGCTCCTCTTGAAACATATTGGGCTGTAGAATGAAAAGATGAATGAAAAAAGCCAAGCCAGGCAGGTGTGAAAGAAAGCAGGGCTGAGGCAGGGCAGAGCAGAGGGAGCTTGCCTTCAGTCCGATCTCAGAGGCTGGAATGGCAGCCTGTGCATCCAAAGGTTGTCATGGCATACCCTGAAGATAAAATTAGCAAGATCCACAACCAGGATTGAGGTATCTTTATAAGCTCAATGTAAGGAAAAAGAATAAACTAAAACCTAAGGAAGAAAATACCCCAAATACCCACACATTGGTTACAGAATCACAGAATATTCTGAGTTGGAAGGGACCCACAAGTATCAAGTCCAACTCTAAGTAAATGACCCATACAGGAATCAAACCCTCAAACCCATGTGTGTCACTAGCACGATGCTCTAACCAGGTTAGCAAATCTCAGGGTTTATCAGTCACAAGCTGTCTGATGGGAGTGGGGAGGCAGGACCTGGTGATTTGATGGTCAGTTCCTCATCACCCGCTCTGTGCAGCATCACAATTTCACCTGTTGAGTTTGGGCTCTCAGTGTGACTGCTGGAGACAAAGCATGTGCAGAATGCACTAGCTGATGTGTTTTGTCCCCTGACTCCAGCAGAGCCTCTGCTCAGTACATGGGCCTGAAGGTGGTCAAACATTAGGGCTATTTCAGGTACCCTCAGGCTGTAATGTCTAAGAGCACTTGGGGACTTACTGGCATGAATCCATCAGATGTACCTACAAGGTTTTCCTTCAAGTCTGATTACTGTCTCTGACCATCTCCATCCCATAGC